GGCAGCGGCGGCAGTAGCCGCCGCCGCCGCAGAAGCCGATGGGGCAGAGGGCTTGTATTGATCGCCCTGCAGGCACACAGCAGTCGCAGACCATGACGATCTTATCCACAGGATATGTGCCAAGTGCTACACTCGCTGCGTACCTGCCAGTCCGTGTTCGTCGCGGTGTTGCAGTCGCTCCTAGTGCCATTGACCTGGATGAGGTGCTGTATGGTCATGCGGTTGACATAGTGCTGCCCCTGCCCGATGGGTGTCTGCTGCTCGCACATCAGGTCCATGATGCGCTGGTAGTACATCTCTTCCGTCTCCTCGCCCACAGAGCGCAGATGTGGATACCTCGCAACCTGGTCGGGGTCATCGACGTGCAGCTGCTTCCGCCACTCGCGCTTCTGCAGAGAAGAGAAAGTGCGGATGGCAGAAGTTTGGCGCGTGTGTCACTTGCCTCACCGATAGGTTGTCCCATATGGGCAGCTTGACGAGCTCCCAGCCTTTCTTCTTCTGCTTGACCCGAACCATGCCCCAGCACTCGAGAGTCCAAGGCCAATCCGGCAGGAGTCCTGCGGCGATGTACTTCTCGACGGGCCCAGCGATGTTCTTCATCACCTGTGCCGACTTCATGATGACACCGCCGAACTGCCACAGCAGCTTCAACGCAAGCCATGCCACAGCCCCCAACACTGCAGCACGCATTCACAGACATCCGAATCCTGCTTGAAGCCCGCAGGCAAGTACGTCGGCTATATACTTACGTGCGGGGGTGAGTGGGTGCCGATGGCCGGATGATTGTGTGGGCGGGACTGACGCGTCGCCCGTGTGGTCGGGCTCCTCCTCTGCAGGCTCGCTATCGTCGTCAACCTCATCCTCATCCTCATCGCTATCGTCATCATCCTCATCCTCAACTAAGAAACCCTGCAAGAAAAGTGAGACTTGTGTTTATATCAACCGGTTCGGCTATCATGGCTACCTTGCGGTGATTTGCGTGGCCATGGTAGTGCCCCCTCCCTCCTACGCGACGTCCGCCAGCGCCCGCCCTCCCCCCCATGACACTCCCACGTGTCTCCACGCTGTCGCCTCGATGGCGCTGTCCTGACCGCTTGACACTCTTGCCCATCTGCAAAGAACACATCCATTCACACATCCATCCCTCCATCCCTGTGCTGTGATCCATTCAATCGGTGATGAGAGCATGGAGGGTGTGTGTGTGTATGGCTGTGTGCGTCTCCCACCCGCAGGAAGTCTTCAAAGCTTGGCTTGGGGCCATTGAGGTCCTCATCCAGGGTGCGTGCATGTATCTCATCGTCATAATACTACAAAGGCAGTCAAAGTCGACAGACATGGGTAACGGCTGATGTCAGTAGTGGGAGATTCGGAGGACCCACCGGATCGTATGTTCCCGCAGAAGCAGCAGCAGCAGCAGCCGCAGGTGGTGGGGGTGGGTGCGGAGAGCTGGAAACAAACGGCCAGAAATCCATCATGGGTAAATGTGAGTGTGTGAGGGGAGAGGGGGCCATTTGTGCAGGTCAATTACCTCGTTGTGGTTGTAGCTGCGTGAGAACGCGTCCTGCCGCCTTGCGTGTGCAGAGTCACCCACCGACGACCCCTTGCCAACGCCACTCCTGCCATACAGACCTGCAGCACCGGCCTGCTGAACAGCAAACAAAGAACAACACGGCCAACACGGCCATCCGTCATGAACCAATGCATTGGCCGATCATGCCATTGTGTCAGGTGCGACCTTTACCTGCTGCTCGTAGTATGTGTGTGTGTATGGAGGTGGAAAGGCACCCCAATACGGACGTCCGCGACCATGAACAGCACCCGAATCTCCCCTGCCAAGGCCGCCCCTACTATCTGACATATACAAAGAAGACGGCACGCAGGGAGAGACCTGTGTACACGAATGCAGGTGGTATTGTGTGACGTACCGACTGACGGCGGGCGAGGGCCCATCGGTGTGCCGCCCCTGCCCTGGGGAGGCACTTCGGAGGCCGTTCTCACGCCCGCACCACGGACCTGTGCATACACGCATTGGTGGAGTGTCGTGATGGCTCGGAGGATGTACGTCACTACCTGGGTATGGTTGTGATGATACGTGGAGGTGGTTCCTGCACAAGTACCGTCAGTCAGATGTGATGGTCATGTGCATAGCCTTCATGGCCTTGGCTGACCTTTTGCTTGCTGTCCAGTGACTTATGAAAGGCCTCCGACCCGTATGCCGGCGGCTGCAGTAAAGAGAGAAAATATGTGCATGTGGTGGCGCTCAGACGCATCCTCTCATTCCACGCACCTTTTCGTCACGCTCCCTCAAGCCGCTCGCCGCGCCGGCTTTACCCTGACACCCACGATAACGCCTCCACGTGTGCGTACCTTATTCCCCGCTCCGATATTCCCTCCGTTGGCGGCCGCAGCTGCCGGCCCAGCACCGCCCACTCCTGGTGACGACGGTTTCGGTGCAACGCTATCCTGCACATAGACGACCCCACAAAGCATAGGACCCATTGGAACCGCACGCACTGACATGCTGCTTCGTTTGCTACTCACGTCTTTTTGGGTGTGGTTGTGCTGGTGGTGCTCGTCATCGGCAGGCGATGCGGTCTGCTGGTGAGGGCACATACACAGAAATCAACCCCCGTGGTATCAGGAGGATACTGCTTACGCTGGCCTGGCCGGTGTTGGCCACGGGAGACTCTCCAGGCGGATCTGCCCACAGAAACGACAGAAACGACAGACATCATTCCACCATTTTCGTCGCCCCCCGTCCTGCCTTCCCGGTGCAAACCGTCTTCTTCGAAGGTGATGAGATTTCTGGGCTGCTGGTTCTCCCTGAGGATGTACCTGTCCTCATCTGTCGTCAACTCCCTCCGTCCCAACACCAACCGGCCGTACAAACGGTCGAAGCACCCCTTGCGTGAGGTGATTGTGAAAGGGGGAAATGGGCCCTCGCGCCCCTCTTCTTTCCACACTTCCACAATGTTGGCCAACTCACAGCGGCTCGATACACCATTGCGTCTACAGCAGCTCCAGCGGGCGGGAAACGCCTCGGTATCGGGTGCCGAACAGTTGAAGATGAGCTCTGGATCCTCAATGCCGAGCTCGCCAGATGCTACAGAGGCGTGGGGGTTCCGCAGCCCCGCCATTCTACTTCCGAGAAAGATCTTGTAACGGTTTTCAACGGCCAACGTTCAGAGACATTTCGTAGTCATCCAAGTGTGTGCGAGGACAAGTCCATCCACTTCACCCCCTTGTGCGTGACGGTGGATGGTGGGTGGGGCAGAGAGGCCAATGGTTTTTTCAGGCGCCTAGTTGAGAAGCTGCGCACCAAGGCTGCGTGGTGCTCGTCTGTCTGTTGCGTTGGCGCGTAGTGCGAGTATGTGTGTGCGTGGTGGGCGGCGCCGCTGGAAGATACGCCAGGCGGGCGCTGAGGATGGTGCTGGCATGTTTGTCGCATGATTGAGGGTTGGTCGATGTTGACGCAGTTCATTTCATGAGAGACCGACAGACGCTGCCTGCCGTTGCGCTATGATTTAACGTATGTCACACATTCCACATGAACCAATGGTCATTTCGTACTAGTTCGCTATGCACACACCACCGTGAATCGTTCGCAGCCATGGGCACGCAGCCCACCACCAGGACGGCAGACAGGGAGGAGGGAGGCACCAACACACCTGCACACCTGCAAAAGAGTACACACGGCACATAGGGAAATGAGTGGATGGATGGACGGATGGATAGAGAGGGCGTGACAACCAGCAGCCCACCTGGGCGGCAGAGAGAGAGGAGGGAGGCACCAACACACCTATACAACAGCACACACAGCACACGCGACACATAGGGTGGATGGATGGATGGAGAGGGCGTGACAACCAGCAGCCCACCTGAGCGGAAGAGAGAGAGGAGGGACGCACCAACACACCTGCACAACAGCACACACAGCACACGCGACACATAGGGTGGATGGATGGATGGGAAGTAGTCTGGCGTCGAATGAGTCGGCAGGGCCTCGCCAAGCCTCCTGAAGATGAATGTGCCCAAGGAGTTTGCTACGCCCCCTACACTGCGTACAGAAACCGTTGTGTTGCGAGCTTGCGGAACGCAAACCGGAAGATTGGCGAGGAATCGCCCACGGCATACATGCCGCCAGCAATGAGCATCAAAAAAGGCGTCGACCTACAAGGGGAACAAGACGCTTCATTTGACATTGCAGAGATATCGCAAGAACACTGCCCGGAATTGGCCCGGAATTCAACCAATGGGAGCGTGCAGAAAGCCTGGCTGCCGTAATTGATGCGCGACTATGTTACTAGACGGAGGATATATGGGCGGACACATCCTGTGATTGGGGTAGGCGACGGTAAGGGTGCGTGCCTGGGAGAAGTCATGGGTCGCTTGATCTACACACGCACACTCACACGTGAGTGGATGTGTGCCATTCTGCATGCTTGCCTTCCCGCAGTTTCTTGCGCAGTCCGTTCGAGGTGGTGGTGCCGTATATCACCTTTCCTGCAAGCATCCGTGTGCACATCAATGCCATTCCTCTCTGCTCGCATTCGTACCCTTGCTTTGGCTCACCTCCTGGCCGTGGGCGTCACGCACCACGATGGATGGCGTTGTGCGTAGTCTGATGACCCAACCAACACAGACACAGTTTTATTCTCCTTCCGCTCTCTCCCTCTCGACCTGTTCCGAACCTCATGACGACGACCGTTGACCTGTCGGGGATCAAGGGCTGGCGGGGACGCTCTCTCTCGCGGTGCTTGTGTGCCAGGTTATCGACGCTCGCCCTTAAGGCCTTCTTGCCGCGCGAAGCTCTTTCTGTTACGACCGAGGTCGCCTCCATACACCCACCCAGTCCTCCACCTGCATGCAGGCAGGGAGTCAGCCAGACAGACAGACAGACAAACATAAGATGGATGGATGGATGAATGTGTGTATGTGTGTCTGTGTGTGTTGCTTTTGGTATCGCCTGAAAGGAGGTGAAGTCAACACATATGAAGATCGTTCAGGGGTCGAATCGTGCCCTCACTGCTAGTCATGAATCGCTCTGCTACGAGGGACCTTGGCCATGCGTGGCTGCAGAGATCGATCACCTGCAAGACCACTGACAGACAGACAGACAGGCAGACAGACAGGCAGGTAGGCGGGAAGAACGACGAGGGTGGCATGCGTGGATGTGTGCGTGCGTGATACCTCCTGCCTGTTGCTTCATGCGCACGATGGACATGAACAGGTGGTCTGCGTGGGAGAGATCGACACACAGGGAGGGTTTCATTGGTTGCGGTGTTTCCCGTGCTTTCCTTCCCTGACCATTTCCGTGGATTTCCTGTCGTTTCTGGAGCAATGTGCCCTGATGCGTTCGAAGCCAGTGGAAAAAAAGGGCGAGATGCGAGCTCTAGCTCGCAATGGGTGTCCCCATAGATTTGGGTACGTGGGGATGGGGATGGGGGTGGGGGCGTGGGGATGGGGTAGAGTACGCCCGGAAATCATGCTTGAAGATGCCTGGTCCGCCGGAACGTAGCGCCGGGCTTAGGGACAGGTGCCTCGTCAAACCCTTAACCGACCGACCGAGTGACTCAGATACACTTCAAGGATGTGAGCGGTTATACACCCTTAGAGTATTAGACACTCTTTACCTCACTAGCCTGTATGTGTAGTGGAGAAACGATGTTGTGGAGAGACGACAAAAGAGCAGAGAGAGCTGCAACGATGTGAAGGAATGCAGTGGAGAGACGCCAGATCACTATGGAGAGGGCGGGAGAAGTCGGAGAGACGGCTTCGTAGTGCCCTTTCTCACCGTTGTTTCTGCCTCCGCCTGCGATAGCTGTTTGTTTGGCTACTGAGACGGCATTGGGGCTCATGAAGCGACCCTAGTCCAAAACCGAATCCCGAGACTGCGCAGAACTTGTCGGGTCTTATGAACATCATGTGAGTTTCACGGTAAAGCCGCTTATGATTTCCTGGAAATCATAAGACGAAACAGAAAACATTTGTTCACACGCGAGCAATTCAAGCATGTCAATGTCTCTGTGCACAACAGCCTGCAGAAGGCCTTATATTCGTCGACTTATCGGTTCATAGGACGGGAAACCCCAATTTCTCCAAGCAAAGCCATCCTAGCATGCCACCTCCACTAGATAGTCGGAAAGTTAGATAAGCTGACTACTTAGCTTTTCTAACTCGTCATCCATCTGTGTCGTCCCCCTTCTCTCCCCCTTTCCCTTCCCTTTTCCTCTCCCAAACCCCTACAGTCTCACCGCCTACAGAAACTGAAAACCGAGGCGCCAGGTTGCGAGATGGGAAAGAGCGGTGTCCGTGAAAGAAGAAGTTTGAGGAGAAAGAGAAGTGCTTCGCGCGTGATGAAAATGGACATTGAATGCACAGTCGCATACGCCATAATACACAGCCTCACTGATCCACGTCCAACAATGAAAGAACATTTGACGGACAGAAGTGTTTATGGATGTCGATCAACGCATGGAACGGCCTGTGGCAGTCTTGCCAGCCAGCCAGCCAGCCAGCCAGCTCGAAAGCAGTGGCCACCCGTTGACCATCCATAGCGATACAGGAGCGATGTGCCTATCTACGGCTCTGCAAAGGCAAGCGATGAAATGCGTGGTCAATAGCATGCTCCAGGCGCTCGCAAGTAAGTTCGTTAATTGCTGTTTCGCTGATTGCAGGGTTCACTTGATGAGGACACGACTCGCAGCCGCCTGAGTAAAGTCCTGCTCGCTTGGAAGACCGGCGATGCCTGGTCTTGCAGGAGTGAATCAGACGCTTTCCTCGACGCGCAAGCCTCACCTTCTCTTCGAAAGCCATCTGCAGAGTTGTCGTGTCAATGTACGGGCAAACAGGGAAAGGCAGACATAACGTCTTCATACGAAATGAGAGACAGACTGTGCAAGGGAACAGCGGTTTCGAGTGGTGTGAACAGGAGGAGCAACGGCATCAGCAACGGCCTCTTGCGCGGACACTGCTTCTGGCGCCCTGGCACGCCTCGGCTGCGCCGCGCTCGGCGGCCAGGGCGCTCGCTCATTTCGTTCTGCTGTGCATGGCATGAATATGACCTTCCTAAAGAACCCACAGTGCACACGTTGTTCGCGAATGTGCTGTGTCTCTGATTGTGATTGTGAGTCGAACACACCTCGTGTTCGCCGGCTTGAAGTGGAAGTCAGTTGCTTGCCTTGAGCTCATCAGTCTCGCTCGAAGATTGCCGTCGCAGAAAAGGTCTCTCTCACACACGAACCTTCCCAGAGTGAGGATGAGGTAGTTGAGATATAGATGAGGACTTGCAGAACGCTGGCCGAGCTTTATCAACGTGTGCGGGCGGCAGTCGACGAATTGGCGAAACTATCTGTCATGGCCTTGGCTTGGCTGACGCAAGCCCTATATGAGCGTCGCAGACGCCGTCGAGATGAGTGAGGGTTGAGATGAGCGATTGCCGGACCGGGTGCTTCGCGACAGCGTGCGATGGGCGTCAGCTGCGATGTGCTGCAGGTAGGGGTGCTGAAACTCCACGAGGTACGATTCGCGCCGTCCGGCAAGAGGCTGGTAGTGTCTCATCACGGTGAGATAGCTGGCATCAGCTGTATAAGCGCGATGTCGAAGAGATTGATGGATAGAAGTGCTTGTTCTCGGCTCGATTGACTGACGCGACTCGAAAAGCTTTCCTCATATGGCCACCGGTGCCAGGGGATAGTGGCAGCCCAGGGGATAGAGCTCGAATTAGCCTGATCTGGTGGGTCCCTCCTACAGACTCATCAACGGCGTATCACACTAAAGACTCATCACTAGGGTATCCCACCGATGAGTCCCTGCTGCGGGATTGACCTGATTAGCAATTCATGCTATGTACAATGACGGTATGAATGTTTCTGCGTCTCACCAGTCAGTAGACTTTCAGCAACGACAGCTGATATGATAGCGGCATCTTCTGTCTCTCAAACTTTGCCTCCTCTCTTCGCGACATGGCGGACCCGAACACTCTCGAGCGTAACACTTAATTTCCCCACTCTTCCTCGCCCGCCGCGTATCTGGTGCAGTAAGTACTTTTGGTTAATGGCGGATGGAAATTTAGTAGATATATATTTGTCTGTTTGGTTGTCTGTCTATGTGTATCTCTCTCTCTCTCTCTGTGTGTGTGTGTGGATGAAGATATATGTGTCTCTGTCTCTGTTGTCTCTATCTTCACCTGTTTGACTGAAGGTGAGTATCTCTTGAAATAAGACGTCGTTCAAGTTCATCTCGAGCAGTCGTGTAAGGTTGAGCAGTCACGGTGGAATTCGGTCCTACCTCCACTTGTCAGTACATAAACGTACTCGTCTGTGATACGATTGGGTGGCACTCGGCAGACCAATCTGCCCGGATCGTCTTTGCTCTAGTGGCACTGCTTTTCCACCTTCGCAGGGTCTTGATCAGTTCAAGCTCTTGAATCTGTCGCACAGCTATTGCTCGTAATGGGGTCGCTTCAATAGATGGTTTCTGGATTGATATGCACTCACTGTCCCGCTATGGGACTCTTGTGCCTGCATGCATATCACGCAAATGTCTGCATAAAGGCGGTCAGCGCTTTTATTCCATTCTGGTACTCATATTTGAACCACACTGCTGTCAATTCGCAAATTGGCGGTCGACAATGTTTCGATTCAGTCGAGTGTGGCTTGCAATGATATGAACATGTACAACTGGATGGTCAAATTTATCCCCTCCGTATCTCTGTCTGTAAGTACAAGCATAACCAATACAGCGCGACTAAAACTTACATGCTGCCTTCTTGTATATGTTGATTTGCTTGGCTGACCATGATCGTCAGAAAGCGTACGGTGACATCACTCTCGTTGAAGCACGTCACGGCTTTATTGACGTTTTGGACGTTTTGGCGAAAGTCTGTCATATCGAAGTTGAAGCTGAACTGTCCGAGCATCACTCCTATACGCTTCACACCAGTGAATGACGTGGGGAGCTGCGAAATATATTCCTTACAACGCTGCAGTATCAAAGATAAATGTGTGCGCACTGTGCGGTTCATATGACAGGCTCTGAGCAACTAATACGACAGGCGGGCAACCTGATTGTAAAGTCGAATGTACTTCTATAGAAGACACCACACAATGACTGAAAAAGAGAGCGCCGAGTTTCATATAGAAGAATATGCATGGAAGCATAGCCCTATGCCAGACCAGAAACATAAGGCATTACACATGCAGAGACACACATTGAATGAACAGGACATGGAGTTGAGAGTATGTTGTTTGTGTATTCATCTGAAAACAGCACTCTCTGAGTATGCCCACCGTGCCTCGTATGTTCGAATTGAGCATGGACTGGCTGAAATTCAGTGTCGACCCCTTTTTGACCTTGCTCTCGACAAAGAAGCTCAGCGGCCATCCGAGACCTGCCCGATTAGAGAACGAAGCCGTTGCAGAGCCGTTGTCGTCCACCATTTGCTCCAACCTATCGCTGCAGCGCTCGATATGGGGTGCCATGTTTTGCCTCCTTCCGTGGTCGCTTTTTGGCTGTCTGTCAACTGCTGGTCCGCCACTCTTTTCTTTGTGCTCAAACAGCGTTTCCCCTTTCCAGTGTGAGCTGGAGCCGGTCCGCCCGAAGCAGTCAGTGTATGGGAGCATAGGAGGCTGACATGTCGCTTCTTGCGACCTCGTCTTCCTCACGTTTAGCCGTTTCACGCGCTGATTCACGTCGTGATCAGCATCAAATAACACCACCGTCACTCGCATCATCGTCCTCGCTTTCAATGATATGCTGATACACAATGCCTGCAAATTGCCATCATGACACACCGCTCTTTGCAATGGAGAGTCTGGCCCCAAATTTGCCATTCTTTGGGGCCCAAATGTGCGAGCTTTCTTGCGAGCTTCATGTCATGTTACACGGAGTGCTCTAACCATTTTTGGCGGTTTGGCCGTTTTTTTCCAACTGTCTGGCCGTTTTTCTTTCGGTTTTACGGATGCCTTAACTCATATTTTGGCCCCAATTGGGCAATTGCGAGCTTTTGGGGCCCAACTTGCGAGCTTTTTTTCAGTTTTTCGACTGCTCTAAGGTACTTTTTTGCTGCATTCTCGAAATGAGTTGTGCTAAGTATATTTTTTTGGGAGAGCGACCGCCGCTGGCTCGCATCGACGATCGCGCGATTCTCGACAGCTTCCTTGAAGGGAACTTGGACTAGAAAACCTAACTAGTCAGCTTTCACAGGTAAGTGTGTCGACAAGTCAGAAAACCTAACTACCTATCTTTCACAGGTTGGTATCTCGACTAGTTAGAAAACCTGACAAGTCAGCTTTCACAGGTTGGTATCTCGACAAGTTAGGAAGGTGCCTAGAGATCGAACAACACCTCCAACCCTAACCTAAGCCCCCGCCGCGAAACCCTAAACCCTGGGTTTCTCGGGCCAGAGTTCGGGATCCCGAGAAACCCTAAACCCTACGAAAGCTTTGAGTCGTCGTCGGCTGCGTGTGTCGGTCGATTGAGTGTTTCCGGCTGTTACGAGAACAACAACGACGGGATATGGCGACTCGTCGCTAGCAATCCGAGCACATTGTCACTTCCCGCCCTCACGGGAGCAGCACGAAGTTGTTATGTTGTCAAACGGGACAAGATGCTGCCTGGCGCTGTGTGTTCTGTGTAGGTTTCCTGTGTTCTGTGGGGGTCTGTCTGTGTGTGTGCGTGAGTGCATTCATCTCTGTGTGTGCGTGTGTGTGGCGGATGGATGGACTCACGGAGAGACACACACACACACACACAGAAATGAATGCACTCAGGCACACACACAGACAGACAGACAGACAGACAGACTTGCACACAGAGAGACAGAGAGAGAGAGAGACGGACAGGGAAACATTCACCCATCTAGTCACACAACATCACTCTAAATGAAGCAAGAAACCTGACTCTTTGACTTGTCTAACTTTCACACACACTCTCGTTGGCGCGCCCCCTTCCCCTCCCTTCTTCTGTCCTCACCCTCTTTCCCCCTTCCTCCCCTCAGGAAAGTGTGAAATCTAGAAAAGCTGACTACTTAGGTTTTCTGACTTGTCAAGATACCAAAATGTGAAAGCTGACTTGTTAGGTTTTCTGACTTGTCGAGAGACCTATATGGGCGAGGTGAGTATTTTGGGCAGGGTGACATGTCGGGTTGTCTAGGTATCCTGACATACTTTAGTTTAAACTCAGGTTTACTGTGCGTGAGTTTTTCTTTTCTGCGACACAAGTTGGCAGTTGTTAGAGGAGGAATCAAGTGTTGAGAAAGTTGTCTCTTGCCTGTGGCAGTTCTAGCATGCAGAAAATGAGCTGATGTTTGTCTGATGCAACAGGAACACTCCTGTGAATGGGAGAGGAAAGATGCACGTGGGAAAAGTTAGAAAAAGAGTTTGGCATTTCGAGGATTAAGTTTCCGCCTAGGGACAGTTCATCCATGGGCATTGGGTGCTTAAAGCAACTTTTTTTGTGCGCTTTGAGGGGCAGACGTGTGGCAGTGTCTTTCTGCGTGTGTTTTTCGCCGTTTCTTTTGCCAAGCGTGCTCTATGGGTTTCGTTCGCTGGTGTGTGGCCTCCTGCGTGCCTTCTGCAGTGTCCCTTTGGTTCCCTCTAGGGTTCCCTCTCTGTTTGTCTTGGTGTGTTCCCCGCTTCTGGTGCTGTTTTCACCGATTTTTTTCGCTCGTCCTGGACGCCCCAGAGGTGTAATGGTCATGATGATGCACCTCGCGTTACTGCCATTTTGATGAGTGCTCAGAGGACAGCGTCGAAGTGATCATTCTGGATAGTGTGCTCCTTATGTCCCGCGGCCAGTTTCAGAGAATGTACCGGCTAGCCTTATACTGCAGCTTGCTTCCCCACCTGCTTCATGATGACCACCATTCCATCTGCTCTGATACCCTCGCCCCACAGCCGCACATTAGTCAGTCTGGTGCAGTTCATTCCGCGGACCCTCTTGACAGCAACCTTGTCATCCTGTTCGGCGTCGCTCATGGACTCAGTATATAGAAACGTCGCGGAATAGCTCTTATTCGAGTCGAGGAAGTCGAGAGGGATCGACTTGATGGTCCGCGTCTGCGCCACTCCACTAACAATCCCGATGTACCATGTGTCACCCTTTCGACGCGCAAGCACAGTCAGGGTGCCAATCACTGAGGGAGGGAGGGCTCGTGTCTCATCCCAGGTCGTCGGAATTGCTGCAATGACATCCCAATAACTCTTGCTCAGAATGACAGAAGGGTTTTCCGCAATAGTCTGCAAGGGAGATGTGAACGTCACCAGCGTCGCTACTTGGTGGACCTGCAAAGGACATCGTTCAATAGCTAGCTAGGAGATTTCTACCCGTCCGTGACAGTCCGACCTCAGTGGTGTTGCCTCTTCTGTCCTCTCTCAGTGCCAACGGTGTGTAGTCGCCCGGGCCGCCTGCAGAGAAATGTAGGCAAACAGCCACCTTTGCCGTGTCTGCTTACATGGCGGTCACGTGTGTCTACAGCCACCATACTTGGGAACCTTGTGAAGGTGAGCGCAGCGTTGTGGACCGGTTTCAGCTTGAGATCAGCCCAAATCTTGTTTGCCTCAAGCCCCTGACCCGGGCAGAATGCAGGCACCACAGAGACGAACGTGTCACATACATCGCAGAATCTCTGAGCACGTCCGTCGAGGATTACCATGATTGCTTCTCTTGTGATTTCATTTGGGTAGGTCCTACTCTCCCCAGTCGGCTTTTGTATACCATGTAAGTTCGTCATCAGCTCGCGCTTTGCCGCCTCCCTATTCAAGGCTTCCTGCAGGCGGATGCTGTCATACGATTCACTATGGAAGAAATCCACCTTAATGCCCTCTGCACCAGCCTGCTTCACCGCATCGAGGAAATCTCGGAGCTGTCTGAAAAGGGGGTTATGTGGTAGAGAGGATGGAAAATTAAGATATCAGCCACTCATACAGGTGATCTCTGACTTGTAGTCCTCGGTAGGATCGGCGATTTCGTCTCTATGTTTCCACAGGAATACGCCAACTCCCTTCGTTCTTGCATATGTTGTTAGATTCTTGACAGTCTCCCAAGCGTGAGGCCAGAACTCCCACCCTGTAGGGGAAGGCTAGGTATTTGAAACACCTATTGGATTATCTTCTTTCGGCCCTGACCTCTATCAATGGTCGTGTATTCGAAGCCTAACTTCGATGCCTCGTCGAGATATTGAATCTCACCTGCGGGGCCTAGGACTCCAACTTCACCCTTCTTCTTATCCCACCAGCTCCAGACAGACCTTCAGAGTGGATAAGAAGTCAACTCTGCTGTAGATGGGAGTAATACCTACCTGCCGGGCTTGATGTAGCCAGGAAGGTCAGGCAACTTTCCTGAGGTCTTCGAAGATGCGAACAGGCCTGGATTCCGGACTTCGGGTGGTGGGCTGAGGTTGGTGATAAGGTCACTGTTGACGAGTTGGTTGAGATTTCGGGCTATTTGAATGACGCGCCAAGAGGTGGTCAGGGGAAGGGACACTTTCAGGAGAGGCGGCGCTCCAGGGTGGGCCACCCGCGCCAGCTCTGTCCGAAAGCCTTTCGCATCCGGCAAGGCGACGATGTGAAACCCTTCCCAATCGAACAAAGCAGCCTCATGGATCGCTCGATAAGGGTAAGGCACAGACCATGAGGAATCCTCAATCAGCATCGGCAGTCCGTAGCGGGCCTTGTTGCCTTTCTGTCGGAGGGCTAGTTTCGCTGGGTTCGTCTTCTTGGATGGACCTGTATGTGTCTTGAGCTCCAGGTCGGCCCGCTCATCCTCGCGTTCATACGTCCACGCCTGCGACACTCGGACGAAGTGAGTCAAACGAAGCCCGTGTACGTCGACGTGAAGGCTCACTCTGTCAGTTGGTGCGAAATCCATGCGGAACTCCGTTCCGTCACCCTTGATTAGTAGCGTCTTGTTTCCTGGTATTCGAGACCGAAATGCAATGCCATCTTCGTGAAAGACTCGTACGTCAACAAAATAGCTCAAATCCTGAAAAGGAATGCTATATGTGAGAGTGAAACAGCTGCACCATGCCGTCCTACAGTCGGAATGTGGCGAACGGAGTACGACACCTCCACTGAATAGCAAGCAGTACCTCGACCAGATAGCCATTCATACGTCCGTGTGAGCAATGTTCCTTACCGTGATGGTTGGTAGCCACAGAGTGATGTCCGAACTTACGATAGGTCTCACGGACTTCCTTCCTCTTCGACTGGCCCTCGATTGTAACGTTTCTACCAACGTGCACATCGCCCTCGAGCATCAGTCCCAGCGACGAGGGGCTGACAATTCGCTGTTCTGGGGCATCGACATTGTATTTGAGGCTGTTGCCGTCGCCTTCGTCGATGAAAACCTCCAATTGAAACGAACCCCGGCCTGGAGGGTGAATAATGTCATGAAATGGCATACTGGCCTTTGCTGCTCCAACCAGCGACAAGAGAGGAAACAGAACCGGGGGGATCGCTTTCATTGAATACATACGACGGTCTAACTTCTACAACGAACGCGATCCGCCTAATTTCATGCATGTACTTAAAATGTACTTCTAAACGTGAATTCACCAGGCCGCAGGCCGGGCAAGCGGTCCTGAAGCGGACACGCCACAACCAAAGACGAGAATCATGCACGCACACCGCATACACGCATACATACACACACGGAGTGGCTGAGCCCCTCACTGGTGTGGTCAAGGGCCGGCTTGAATGAACGTGTTCACGTTATGGAGATAGGCTTTACTCGACGCTTTACTGACAATTGTTGACAGCCCCTGAAGCTCTGAGCCGAGAATCACTACAACAAAACTCTCTGATTCCCGACACGTCTTCCTGGTTGGTTTAATCGCTTGGCGGCTCTGTCGACAGTTGCTGCCCTACAAAGTGCAAACGACAGCTCTTTATAGGGCCAATGATCAACTCTGCTTTGGGATGATCGGACCTTCCTGCTGGCTGGCATCGTGTCTCTGGCCAGGGAAAATCCAGGAAAATCGTTCGGTCCAGGATTCTTAACCCTAATTAGACTCTCCCGAGCTTGGGAGATCCTCCTGCCATTTTGGCTCATCTGCTCGGACATTTCATCGGGCTTCAAGCTTCTTTATCTCTCTTCGCCAATTTTGCTCCTCGAGGCTCTCCCCTGGCTGTCGTCGCCAGATTCACTCATTCAGCCTCTCCCCTGGCGAGGTCTCTTAGTCGTGCCTTCATCACCACATCGCTTGACGGGGAAGAACGGATAAAGGCATAGGCCTTGAGACGTGTGCATTCGTGTGTTCGGATTTGTGTGTCTGTGTATATGCTACTGTGACCCGTAGCCTCCTTTGACTCATCGCGACGAGGTCGACTTCATTTGCGTGTTTGTTGTCAATTATCCTTAATCGTGTCTCATCGACAGTCAGCATCGAGTAAGCGCTATTTCATAGCATCCTCGGTCATAGCAGTCTCGGTTCCCCAAGACCAACCTTGGGCCCTCCTTGGGCATGCAGCACATTCATGTGTGCGACAATTGAACTGACAGAGGAAGACAGAAGACAGATAAAAAAGAGAGCCTGCCTCATTGATGGACAGAAAGACAGGAGGCACTGGCTGAAATGGCATGAGTATGGTCACAACACAGAGGGGCGCCGAAGTCTAACCTCACGCGCGGCATACATTCCCAGAAACGACATGGTGGCGCAGCGACTACACGTGATCGGCTACCTCAGCAAAAGAGACCGGCCGAATGACAAGCAATGACAAGCAATGAGACCTTATCGGACTTTCTGTCGTGGTGTCGATCACTCCTTCGAAAAACCGAACGCGCCAACCCTAGGAGCTGAATGTTTGTATGGTCGTGTAAGACGATGAGATGAAACGTATACCTCTGACATGTTAGGGTTACAAGAGGGATTCAGTGGCCACCGCGTGTGCTACGAAGTGATTGGTACCTTGGGGGGTACAGTTCTACGTCTACGTGACATCGGGGGACATCGGATATCTACGTCTACGTGAGGGTGTACAGTTCTCGCGAGTCGTGATGCCCGTGCACACATAGTTGCTCTCAGTCTTCCTACCTTCTAGATAGGTGGTTCTCGCCTCACACAGTCTCTAGAGTGACTGTGGTATATCTCGCAATCGAATTGCTCATTGACTTGCCCCTCAATATAAACACACAGTGGCACATTTCCGACACACGTATGTTGTCTCACTGAAATGTTAACCGTCAAGCAAATGAATCGCCATCCTGAGCGCCTTCGTCCTCTGGCATGACGTTGTCTTCATCGTCAAGCTGCCACAGAGAAAGCAATCCGATGGCATACACTAATTCATCTGCTGCCACACAGCCCACTTGCTCTTCATCTGGTGCACCGAAGCCAGTGGCATTTGCATCGTCCAGCTCGTCAAGCTGCAAAAGCAGACAAGTGAAAGTTTTTCCTTTCCGTTCCTCATAAACCGAACCTCAGGCAGAGGAAATCGGAGGATTGCGGCAATGCCAGATAGTTGGGACAGCTCTGGCAGGGAAAGAATGGGAAAAAGTGCTCCTTGCAGTAAACATTGCTGTCAACTTACGTTCCCCAGACACATGCATACTCGAGAAAATGTGGGCCTCAGAGCCACCTGAGCAGCGATATTCGCATTCATGCATATCGACAGATCGACGGATAGGTGTCGTGTAATCACCGGCTTGTTTGACCGCTTCGACTATGTGATTGTATCGCCGCCTTGTGCTGACGTTGCTTGCCCTATGCAGCAAAGCGAGCAGCTAGGCTTACGAATAGTTCGCTTCGCCGTGCCTTGCTTGTTCCACCTGAACAGACTGTCTAAAATAAGTAGCGTCTGTACAGCCCCCCTCTCGACAGCCATCTCCACCTATTTGACACGGCATGCACCACGACTGCAATAATTGATTCGGAAGGGGACTTGGCTAGCGACTTGCCTGACACGGCCCATAACACGTCCGATCCGGCTCATTTTGAAGCATATGGTAGAAGGACTCAAGTGCCAGCACTTGCTTCGTCGCTTGCGTGTCCTGAAGCTTCTGTTGCACAGCTGGATCGTTCAGTATTTCATTCAAGGCCTGCCTGACAAAGCCACGACATGGCCAAGCGCGGTGGCGGCTGGAAGTGCGTCGCTTTCAGAGTCTAGCCCACTTGTACGCTGACGATGCTCTTGCCGAGACGAAAAACCCTCTGTTTGAGAGCAGACTGGCGGCGCTTTGACCCCTGATGCGAAGCACGAAACAACAAAACAGGAACACGCTGATACCACACAGCACATTTCTCTCGGCTGTTCCGCACTTGGTTTGAGCCTCCTGCCACATCCATTTGAGGAAATCGTCCTGCAGGCAAACAGAAAACAGACCATTTCCAGACTTCTGTCGTCCGTGAGTACTCGAGCTTTACCCTTACAAAGCCTGGACCAGCCACCAGAACACATTTCACGACGCTGAAGTCTATGTGCTGCTGTATGGCACCCATTACTTGCTGGAAGAAGCGCTCGATAGCCTGAGACGACGACACAGGTCACCATTCCAATTCGAACGAGCGAATGGTTCTCCACCTTTTGGTGCCCGCTGAACAAACCGCGCTTCTTTGGTATGTTGACTTGCACCTGATTCCGCAGGCATGTCGCCTGTGCAGATGATAACGAGCTGATACACGTCATCCTGTCCCACCTTGCAAAGTTCCTTCGCAAGGCAGCTCGTCAGAAGGTAAAAATTCGCAACGCCCTGGTCGATCAACTGTCAAGCAGACAGATGCCAAGGATAGATGCACTCTGCACTCTTGGTGCTTTGGCCGTACGATAGCTGCGACTTCAGCGCTTCTCTTGGCGTCAACTGCCTGCTGAAGACGATCACGAGAGATGAAATCCCAGTTCGACTGGAGGCACGCACGGATTGGCATCGTTCTCTGGTCAACTAAGTGGTGAAACAGGCCCTGAGTTACTTTCATGACGCTGAGGTTGCTATTAAGCTCCACCTCAACCGTATGAAACTGCCCCAGCTGCAAGAGATTGCATGAGCTTGAAACCATTAACTTCGAGCATTCACTACACACGTACCCTAATGAACTCGTTTTCGCACACATTCTTGCCGGAGAAACGAATGAGATTCGCTTTACCATCATACTCGACACTCTGCAAAAGACAACACAGGGGGGGAATTGTCAATCAGCCGCAGATCAGCCATCTACGGGCTACCTTGACGGCCAGGGTGAGCACCAGCTTCTTCATGAAGGCTTGGGTTGAGCCCAGCGACCCCTCACGTTGCACCTTCCTGAGGTACACGCTATTGCTTTGCGGGTTGTATCATGTCCTGATATCTATTTGGCTCACCGATAAGTCTGTGCTCGTATCCTGTCGCCTCGCACGACGATGTTGTAGATGTGCCACAGATCCTCAGCTTCTTCGGGAATGAGCGTCACAACTCCACCTCCATCCTTCTCGAAATTTTGTTCGGTCACCTTCATGTCCTCTTACTCGCGCGTCGGCAATGGTAATGGCGGGAGGGAGGAGTTGGAAGTCACGGCGTAGATCAAACGCGACTGCTCTTTCGTGTTTTTGTTTCACGCCAACCCGAGATTCCTCGGGCTTAGGGTCAGGTGTCTCGTCAAACCCATAACCTTCATTCATTCATTCACTCCTGGTGATGTCTTGTCATTGGTGTGGTCTCTTCTCTGCGGTAGCCTATCACGTGTCGTTGCCCCCCATGTCTTTTCTTTTGCGTGTGCATGGTTGCGCGTGTGGTTAGACTTCGGCGTGCCTCTCTGTTGCGACCATACTCATGCCATTTCAGCCAGTGCCGCATGTCTGTCTGTTTGTTCATTACCGCGGCGGGGCTCTCCCCTTTAGCTGCCTTCTGTCTTCCTCTGCCAGCCCAGCCAGGACTTCCTGTGCATGTGCCTGCCAAGTGCCTACCGACTTAGATCACACCGTGCTGCCCACTGATCCATTACATGCCGGCCGATAACTGTGTGGTGTGTCACGAAGGGAGCGATACAATGGACAACATGAGACTCAGTGCGTGTGAAGGGATGGAGTGCACCTTAGGTATTGTCTATCATATGTTGCAGGGCCTCATGCACACGACAGCTCGGATCAGTTTCACAGATCTTGCTCTAGTTGAAAGGTGAGCTGTGGCTATCAGCTCGCAAAAGAATCTGCGGCCAACTTGACCCAACTTTTTTTCTAGGGCATCTTTTCAAGATCTGTCTTCTGATATCTGTGAAGGGGTCACTGCGGGGAACGAGTTTGCTTCGAGCTTCAAATCCGCTCACGCGTTCGCGTGAAAAACGGCGGCAAAAATCCCGGAAAATCGGTTCCTGGCTGTTTTCTCTCAGGATTCTGCTGCGTTTGCCACGCAAGTCTGTGTGTGAGTGCTCCTTCGTCTGCTTTGTCCTCATGCAAGCGGCCATCGCTCTGCCTGCCGTCAAACACGAGAACCAGCCACCGAAAGTTGACGTTGCCGTCACTTCAAATCACCACGACTGTGACAATGCATGATACATTTCGCTGTGCTGTGTTCACACGTAAGCGCTAATGGCTTTTCGTTGCGTCAACAAGAAGAACCAGTCACTGAAAGGTTACACAGTCATCAACCATCCAGCCACACATCTACGGCACACTGCTCTACGCTCTGTCCGCACGCAAGCGGCCGTCGCTCTTCGCCCCCGCAAACGAGACCATAGCCGCTGAGACCTTGCGCACCGCTAACCCAACCGCAATCTCCATGCAGACGTTTCAAGGTCTGGTTGATGAAATATATGCGCACGGACACTGCGAGAAACGAGTTTGCTTCCAATTGCAATTGCGCTCTCTCGTTCGCGCAAAAGGTGGCGAACACCATGCTCCGGTTACACGGAATTCGGCGTTTTCTGCTGATTTCTCTCGGGACTGAGATTCATTCGATGCAAAAGCATGTATGTCTGATACATCCCGTTATGCTGTGTCTGGACGCCAGCGGCCATTGCACTGCGCCGTCTTGAGAAAGACAACCAGCCACCGAAAGTCGGCAGAGCTGTGGACCTAAACGAGCACGATTGTGTTAATGCATGCTGCATCTCGCTATGCTGTATTCACGCGCGAGCGGCCAGTGCTCATGACCGTTTCATTGTCTCAAAAAATGGGAAAACTGGTGTCGGTTACACGGAATTTGGTTGTGAGTTGACTTCGTTTCGGACTCTAGTTCACTGCACACTGTAATTCATTTCATGCCGAGCACATGTACTGATACCTTTTGCAGTCTGTGTCTGCACGCCAGCGGCCATCGCCATGCGCTGTTTGAGAAAGAGACCCAAGTGTGAAAGCTGACAGCACATGTGGACCGAACTCACTATAAGTATGTTTCTGCATGATATATCTCGCTGTGCTGAATTCACACGCAAGCGGCCAGGAGTTATGACGCTGTTCAAAAGTAAACCCAACGGTACTTGTACTGTTCTTTTGGATGAGCGCGAGCGAGTTCGCACGTCTCTTTCTCTCGCCATCCAGTTTTTTCTGCTCCGTTTCC